ATAAGACTTAATTGACCTCTAAGCATTGATTTGTGCACTTACCTACCAATTTAACTGCTTTCACAAGTGTCCTGAAAAAAATAGCAAATCAAGCAAGCAATCATGGAACCTGGTGTCCAGGAAATCTGAACTGTATTTTATATATCGGGTATGTTTTATGCACAAAAGAGCTGATGGCTAATTAGCTGCCTACCGCTGACTAGATGGACTGTTTGACTCCTATTATGCCCTGACACTTGAGCTGGGTATCAGCAGCTTGGTTAGATGCCTGCAGCTATAGTATCTTTATTGTTCTTCACAAGACTAGACAATGTTCTTAGACAGAATCAGCATAATTTGTTGGACCAATTACCAAAAGTTTTTTTAGTCTCTTCTCAAGGAGCATAATACAGTGAGTGACCCATGAAGACTTAGTGTGAACAAATGTATCTTACATCCTGTGTATCAAAATGTAAACACCTGAAAACCGAGAAAAGATAAAAACAAAACAAAACAAAACAATAAGATAAATGCTATTATGTACCAATAATCTACTGCAATTTGAGATGAATCCTTCTGATCCTTATTTGATTTGAACTTAAATTTAGTATTTTTCTCATTGCTGTTCTTTTTAGCTCCTTTCTCAATCTAGCCCAATTCACAAATTTGACTCTTTCTTCACTTTATGCTTGAGGCTTGGTACTCCAGTTTCTGCATGAAAATCATTCACACATAGAATTTTATAATCAATGCCCACAGTAATAGGATTCCTCTGGCCATGGGCAATTAATACAGTTTTCTCCTTTTTTCCCTCCTTGCGCTGATCTCAAAGCTACGAGACATTGGCTTCTCCTCATTTACATATTTATTGCATTGGACTCAAATCTGGCGAGTGATTGATGTGGAGCCTGCCTTCTGAATTTTTAGCGGTCTATTATTATGAAAGACATGGAGGGGGGCTGCAGCACGTCAGTGTAATTTTGATTAAAGTTGAAGAGGACAGAATCACGAGTGTTCCCCACCTACTCTCCTTTCCTACACTGCTTAATCCGTGAGGCCAAGAGCTGATTTCAGCCTGTTACTGAGCCTGAGGAGTCAACCATTCACAAAAAAAGAGGCAGATTCACTTGTTAAGATTTTAATCAATGTGTCACTTGCTCCTAAAGTTAATGACAATGCGATTATTTTCAGTTATTAATGGGTCTTTGGAAAACTTTTTCTTTCCCCTCTTCTATTTATTTTGGATCATGTATGTGGCTGTATCGTTCAGAATAATGTTACGAGCAGTATCCATCTGTTCATGAATGGAATAATAAAAAATGTTTTGAAAGCATGATTTTCCTCTGCATAGCAAAGGCTTTTGCACACTGAATTCCTTCAGATTGCTTTGCTGCATAATGCAGACTGAGACAAAGACATGACACTGATGGCTGATCAGATGGTAAGCTTGTATGCTCAAGTGTGAAAAACTCTGCTCTGCATATGGTATATGTGCATACGTGCATGTAATGGGGTGCAGTATGGAGGTGACTGTAGAGCAGTTCTCCAGCTCCAATGGATCAGTTTCAACGTTTCATCTAATGTTTGAGCAAGTTTGGGACATAAAATGTTTCTTGTTTAGTGCAAGCTTTAGCAGTTATAATAAAGTAGCTAACATTCACTCCCATTTTTTAATTAAATGTAAACTCAAACCTTATAAAATTTCAGTTGAGGCGAATTTGCCTAAAATCAAAAGCAACCCTCCTTCTCTTATCTATACTTACACCAGCACTCATCTGGAGGCCGGACAGATTCTTGAGAACTTAGATGGCTTTTATCAGTCGGATTTAGATGTAGTAAACTAATGCTGATAC